GTAATTAGTAGCAGATATTTTCTTAATATAGTGCTGAGTATATGAGATTCCGAATTTTATAAGTATAGCTTTCAGATATTCTTCTTAATTCAATATGAGAAATCTGTTTGCTCAATCTCTTATAACTCTAATACCTAGAATCTTGCTAATCTCTTTCAGATTCTTAACATTGAAGTGCGATAAGAGTATTGTAGAAAACCAATTGAATTAATCTTTTAAGATCAAAAAAACAATTATATCATCAATATATATTAGCAAATTGAGTTGGCAAGCAGCGTATATATAGAGATACAGATCAGCGAGATTTTGGGTAAAGCCCTAATTGATTAATTGAGATTTTAGAAGTTAACTTCAATCTTGTCCAGCTTGTTTAAGACTATACAAGCTTTTCAATATGTGTAAAACACATCCATCTGATACCTTGAGTCCCTGAGGTAGTATGAGATATATCTCTTCCTTGAGATAGGATTCTATAAAAGTATTCTTTATATCGAAGTATTAGCATTCCGAGTTCTCTTTCATAATAATCACTAAAAATAAACAAAGCATATCAAATCGTACTATAAAAGCAAAGATTTCGTTATAATCTTTTCTGAGAATTTGATTAAAACTTCTTATTATTAATCGTACCTTGAATTTCTTGATCTTATTGTTCTTCATCTTTATTGTGAATACCCATTTTGTTGAAACAAGGTTCCCTTCTTTCAATAGAATATACTCTTTTTAAGTGCTATTTGCAATCAATAAATTAATCTCTTCTTCAATAACTTACTTTCATTTTTCTTTATATTTGAAATTCGAAACCGCTTGATAATATATAATAGGAATAGGGATTCCTAAAATCTATTCTACAAGAAAGGCTATATCCTCGTCTTGTCACGGGGTGACACTAAGCCCTTTCTGTCCTGTCCTGTCCTGCTATATATATGAGAGTAAGGTAGAACTTCCAGTTCTATCTTTTAGTCTTTTGGGCGTTTAGCTTAGTAGTAAAGCTTCTGAATACTCCCAGAAGTGATTCTGTGATATTAGGTAGAATTATTCTTAGTTATAAATGAAGCTATATGGGGAGCCCACTTATAGCTTACAGGCCATTGGTCTGGGGGCTAGAATATATAGATCCTGTCTGCCTGTCTAAATGCTTGAGGTATTAGAATTCAGAATCCTGAATTCTGAAATCTTCTAGTAGGTGATGGTATAGAGATCATACCTTAAGGAGGGGGGTGGTGTCACAAGGTGACACTAAGCTCTTTCTATCCTATCCTGTCCTACTATATATATGAGAGTAAGGTAGAACTTCCAGTTCTACCTTCTAGTCTTTTGAGCGTTTAGCTCAGTGATAAAGCTTCTGAATACTCCCAGAAGTGATCCCGTGACACAGGATTAGATTCTTCATTTTAATAAATATACAAATTTTGTATATAGAGATCTTAAATAAAACTTTGATTAACTTTCCCAATATAATAATTTTATAAAGATTTCGTATTTTCTTTGAGCCAAGATAATTAAATTGTTTGTATTATAATAGATAAGTTTCTAGATCCTTTTTAGTCTTATTTGAGGAGATATCTAGAGTGATCTCATTTAGCTTAATATCACTAATGATCTCTATGCTCGATAGAGTGATATCTTTGTATTCTTTTGTGATATCCAAGATTATATAAATTCCTCTATCCATTTTTGCTTTAATAATATTTATTTTATTTTTTCGAAAGTATATATAATCTGAATTGAATTTGTCTTTGAATTCAGTTTTACAGATCTTTTTGTTAAAAAGGAGATTAACTTCTAATCCCGGTATATACAATGTTTTTGAAAGTAAAACCATATCCTCATTTTCCAGTTTCATTGCAGTAGTACCTATCCAATCATAGTATATAACTCCCTTATTGACTTTTATTGTCTTTCTCTTTATTTTCTTAATATTTCTAAAAAGGGAAAGTTAATTAGATATATGTGAGGAAATACTAGTATCTATATACCAATAAGAAGGGATAATCTTATGGATAAGCTTTTTAGATATACAACACTTTTCATTATCAGATTCTTCTTTGCTTTCTGATAAATCGAAATCAACTGAAAAGCTTTTGCTATCTATAAGATAAGCTTGATTATTCTTTTTAGAAAATAATACTTTAATTATCTTTTTAAATATTACTCTCCATTACTAGACTCTATAGTATTTGCAGATCAGAGCTTATACAAGTAAGAGATCTTTGTAATTATATAAAAAATGTCCTTCTTATTTATACAAATAATAAACAGAAGATTTTACATTATTATTTTGTTTTTGCTTTCCAAATAGGCTTAATTCTTTATATTCTCTTTATTGATCCAGAATTATATATTTTCCACTAATAATATAAATTTGTTCTGTCTCTTTAATACTGAGTTTTTTAACTATAAGATACTTGATCTTATCTCTAATTGCTAGTGTAGGGTATTGAGACCTCATTTTTAGGAGAGGGGGATCATGTAAATTAGAGATTATCCCGCAGTTAGCCCAACCGTAATGCCCCCTGGGAGGTTCGCCTATACGGCCCGGTTGAAAATTACTAATAATAATAATTGCTAGTGTGTTTTGAATACTTATAGCATCGATTATTGTTTAGTAATCAATTAATAGGCTTTTTGTAAGAATTAAAAAAAGAGCTTAATCTTTATATAAATCTTTAAATACAGAATTAACTGTATCAAGCTTATATCGATATTTCTTGAGTTTGTTCTAAGCTTCAATAATAGTCATCTCCAATTGATTTGAGAATTTGAAAATAAATATCTAGATCATTATCAGATATAAGTTTACTGTAATATTACTTATTCTCAAGTATTTGGATTTCAGATAATTCTATAATATATATATTATATCATATTCATCAGCTAGTACTTTATTGTTATTGCTAAGCAATCTGTATATATATAAAAATGCATTAGCTTTATTCTTTAAATATACAGTTTTCTTCTCAATATTAAGTCTAATATGTATTATTATAATATTTTTAGTAATCAAGAAGACCTCAATGCCATCAATCTCTATTCCAAGTTCTCCGATTCTCGTATAATCCTGAAATATAAATTCAATTATATAAAACCAATCCTTTCCTTTCAATTATATTTTTATTTATCGGAACTATTTCTTGTAAGTTTTTTGAATAAAAGTTGGGATACATTTGGCTTGCTTCTTGATATTGTCCATTTTGATATCTGTATAGAGAATTTACAGAGTTTTTCCTTTTTCTCCCCTTTTTCTGTATAAACAATGCCATATAGATTTGTGATTATAAATATATAAGTGTAGATAGCATTGTATACTCTTCAACTCTATGAATTAATAGTAATAATCGATTGTAATACCGCATACTGATTATAAGATAGTATTGTGTACTCTTCAATTTTGCAAGTTGGATATAAGATAGTGCCACACACTCTTCAGCTCCGCGAGCTGGATGTAATATTGATTATATCAATTCTATTCAAAGGCTATATTAACCGGATCTTATAACCTATTAAAAGATTGGGTGGAAGAGGTTTTTATATTGATTATATAGTTACGTGTGTAAGTATATTGATCTCCTCGTAGTATTATATGAGGGGATTAATATGCCTGTCTATGGTTTGTCTAATCTAGCCCGTTTAGATAGCCGTATTACTAATCACTACACGTGCTTAGCACCGGTAACTTCTATTCCTTTTAACAGGTTTATAATATAATAATAAAATGAATCAATTATCGATATTAAAGAATAACAAATTATTATACAAAAAGTGAGCCTGAAGAGAACTTTTATAGATTCTATCCAATAGGACCAAGATAGGGCTAAGAAATAAACGAAATGATTTGCCCTGCCGGGTAGGGTGAATAGGTGACTAATCAAGACTTAAGGCCGAATCGTCACACCACTAGTGTATTATCATATTAAATATTAATATACTCATCATTCATCAATTTTAAATTATAAATTCGATTTTATGTTTTGAAATAAATAAATAAATAACTAATAAATCTAATTCAATTCAATCTAATTCATTTCAAATAGCATAGTTCATAAACCTCTTCTCCGAGATTCTCATCTATATACTCATTTATTTATTTTATTTATTTATAGTGATTAACGTCTTGTGGAGGACCTCCCGAGGGGTATGAAAGACGTGACTAGATCTAGAGTTACAAATACAGAAAGGCGCTGATGCGCACGCTAGTAAAACCTCATAGGGTAAACCCAGTTCCTTCTATATATCCTAAACAAGCCAGTGTAATGTTCGCAAATAGGGCTATTTGATTGGCCCCATATTCCTAGCGCTTCCTTCTGCTCATGGAGAGGAGCGCTCTGATTGTACAATTACTTCTGTCATAGAACCATGTTTATGGACAGGAGCGGTGTGTACAGGTGTGCCGCTTCAAAGAAGCGGGTGTGTGTGTGATGGTGCTCCAGAGGAGCGGAGGGTTCGGCTATTAGGCCGCTCAAGAGGAGCGGCCGGAACGGTGGTTCTGCTTGATAGCGGAGTGGCGCATAGGCGCAGTGGTGGTGGCTGGAGGGGGGATCACTAGTTCCTCCTCAGCACTCGATCGATCGCTTTTGCGGCCCATAATAGAGAAGCTCTATTAGGGTTAGCGGTAGATTGTCGAAGCTCAGAGGAGCTGTGTTATGAGGTCCACACTAAGGTGGCCTATGAGGCGGCATATAGAGTGGATCCATGTGGATCCCAAAGATGGGGATTGGCCCATATATACGAAAATTTCGTCGCTATAGCCTTAAGTCGTAGAACAGTGGGAGAGTGGCCCGATCACTTTACCACTGAACCAGCCGGGCTCCTTGCGGAGGACAATGGTCCTTTTTGTCTATATACTCATTTATAATAGATATAAAAAAAAAGAACATCTAGATTCTAAATAAATATTTAACATCTAATATTTATTTATTTATTCAATTTCTTATCTTATATTATATCATCTTATATCATATCACCTCATTTATTCTATTCTATTTTTATTTAATATACTATTAATTCTCCTCTTCCTCCCTCTTTTCCTCTCTCTCCTCTCCTCTCTTCTCCTTTCTCCTCTCTTCTCTTCTCTTCTCTCTCTTTTTCTCTTTTCTCTTCTCTTCTCTTCTCTTCTCTTCTCTTCTCTTTTCTCTTCTCTCTCTTCTCTTCTCTTTCTTCTCTTCTCTCTTTCTCTTCTCTTTTCTCTTCTCTTCTCTCTCTTCTCGTTTTTTCTTCTCTTCTCTTTTCTCTTTCTTTTCTCTTCCTTCTCTCTCTTTTCTCTCTTCTCTCTTCTCTTCCTTCTTCCCTTCTCTCTTACCCGCGATCCCACTATAAATATATCCAAAGCATTTTATATAGTTACTTTCAATACCAAACCAGCTACACAACCTAAATAATCAATAACCTAACACCTACCCAACCCATGCAATCAATAGAAATATACTAAAAGACCCAAAGACCCAAATACCCAAATTACCCAAATACAAACACAATACTCTCCAAACTTAACTTCGCCTGAATTAATCTATATTATAGTACGTCCCTTTCTCCTCCTCACTCTTCCCTCCTCGTCCCGCCTCTTCCCTCCTCTTCCCTCCTCTTTCCCTCCTCTTCCATCCTCTTCCCTCCGCTTCCCTCGCTTCCCTCCTCTTCCCTCCTCTTCCCCTCCTCTTCCCTCCTCTTCCCCTCGTCCCTCCCTCTCCCCTCCTCTGCCCTCCTCTGCCCTCCTCTTCCCTCCCTCTTTCCCTCCTCTTCCCTTCTCCTTCTCCTCTTCATCCCTCCTCTTCTTACCTTCCCATTTCTATCTCTCTCTCCATCTCCCTCCTCCCCTCCTTCTCTTCACTCCCTATCCCCTCCCCCCCTATCACCTAACACAATAACAAGCCTTCCTATTTGTTCTCCCCTTTCAGACACCTACTTCTCCTTATATTACATTATCATCATCATTATCATCATCATTATCATCATCATTATCCTTCGTCAATCCCTACAATCGAATATTCAATATTCAACATCCAATATCCTCATCAAACCATCAACAATACATCAACTCATTCGCATCACCACAATTAATCAAAAGAATCAAAAAGTTTTGTATCAATATTTTATTTTTTTATTCTCTTCTTCCCCCCTCCCCCCCTATCCTCTCACTAAAAACTATCTAATCTGCTTGCTTTCATTTTGCAAGTCATAATACAATTGTTCCCGTATTCCCATTCCCATTCCCCCTAAACTTTTATATCATCCACTGCCTATCCTTCCATTTCAGTTCCCATCCATTCAGATCATATACAAAGATTCATGCTTCCTCTCGAAAGTTCATGATCTTATTCTCTCAAAAAGAGGAAAAGCTTGAACTGAAAATAAAAAAATCCCAAGGACTTTCTCAAAAATCCATCATGTGGTATCATCCCAACGCCAGTTGAAATAAAATCCGCTGGTATCAAAACATTCTTTGAAAAAGAAACCATTCAGTTTTCTTCATAACACTTTTCCTCGAAAAAAGCTTTTGTGTAAAATGAAGAAAGACGCAAAAGACGCAAAAGAACACCGATCCATAATTTCCCATTCCATACCAGTTTATTCCCATACCAGTGTTCTTTCCATCCCCCAAATATGTGTGGAAGTTGTTGATCTTTTTCTTCCAAGTCGCTATGTGAATATGTAAAAGAAGAAAAGTAAAAAAGAAAGGAAAAAAAAAAACAGACAAATATCCCACCCCTCCTTGATCCTGTGATTGTAAAAACATTCGCTATAATGCAAAGTAAAAAAGCAAAAAGACATTAATTCGTGCCCAATGCTATGACCATGTAAAACTTCCACACGTCTTGTTTCTATGCCAAGAAACTCCATGACGATGAATGCAGTTTTGACTGTGAAGTCGATGTAAGACTTGTAAATTACCAAAAGGTAATACAAGTCAAACGTATAAATTGTTGTATACTGGTGTTGTTTACTCGATGCGCAGATAACCCATTACATTATGCGACTAACACGTAGTATTGTTCAGAAATTTACCATCCCTTGGAATGATATTCTCCCAACCCTTGACTGAAATATTGATTCCAGCTTGAGTTAAGAGCTTGATCATCCTTATCCATATAAACATTCTCTGGGTATTGTTTAAGGTTTGCAACATCATGTGCAGTATGTCTTCGTTTGAGAGCTGCAGCAGCTTCATTGACTGATGACTTTTGTCTTCTTTCCCAAAGGAGGTTTTGTCGAAGACTGACAGTCAATTCAGTTGCAAGCATGTTTCTTCTGGTAGTTCTTGGTGAAAGTGCTTGTTGATGTGCGGTAGTGTTGGTGGTTGTCTTGATAATTGGTTGAGCTCCACGAGGAACTTCAGCAATTGGTCTGAGTCCTCTCATCATAAGAGGGGTCTCATCGGATTCCGGTGATGCTGCGAGGGAAGGACCATTTGGTGAAGAGTTGCGGGATCTTCGAAGAGCTGGAGTCGATCGAGAAGCTTCGGTGGCAAGTGCTTGAGCACGATCGTTTTGGTGAAGCATTGTAGTGATCAATGATCGTCTGGAGGTGAGTTGAGGTCTTGAATCAACTCGTTGAAAGAAGGTCTTGTCATCGATACTTGCGTTTCCAGAATCCTCAACTGAATCTTCCCAATCAGAGGAATCATCGTCATCGTCAATGGCAGATTCGTCGACATCATCCTCATCATCTGTCTCAAAGACATCGTCATCGAATGCTTCTTCTTGAATGGTTCTAGTGGCAACCTCTTCTTGGAAAGAGGTTTGCTTCTTGGCCAAAGGCTTTTGAAGTTTGTCAGTTAATGCACTACGTGGTTGCATTCTGTTTGGTAGAGAGCTCTCGTCTTCGTTTGATGATCCACCAAAGCTGAATTTGGCTGGCTTCTTCTTTTGTTGGAGTGTTAATGGTTTGTCATCCATAGAAACTGCTTGTTCACTGAGTGAGTCTTCACCGGAAGATCCACCAAGAGCGAACATTTGCTTCTTCTTGGGCGCAAGTGCTTTTGAATCTGTGGCGAGAATATCGGCAGTTGGGATCGACGATGGTACGGTGTTGAGTGGGATGGAACGCATTGAACTGCTGACGTGTGCGGGGGAGAGAGAGAAACCTTTGACAACTGAAGTGGCACTCTTTTCAGAGTTACTGCTTGATGATTCCATGGTGGCAGATTGATGTGGTGAGTTGATTGAGAAAGACTCATTTAAGGGCATGGCAGGTGATTCATACTTGGGTTGAATGAATTCTGGGATTCTCTCGGCGAGTGGCGCAAGGTAAGGTGTAGAGATTGTAAGAGGAGCCAAATCTTTCTTCTCCTTGATAGTGATAACCATCTTCTCAAGGTCATCCGGTGTAATGTGACGTTCCTTTCCTCGACTTCTGCTATTGCAAGAATCTTGTCTGTGAATTTGTCGGTGTGAGATATCGAGAGGAGAAGAATCGGAACCTTCTTCGAATTCGATGGCCTCTTCATCAACGAGCGAATCCAAACTTCCACTTAATTCCGGGACGTTATTCGAGTCGAGACCTGCGGAGCTTCTTGAGGATCGTGAAATGATGGGTGTGGTGGTGTTTGCTTCTGAAGTTGGTTCACAGCAAAAGGTTTCTCTGTTCCATAATCTCCAACTCAAGTTTTCTAATCTTTGACCTTCTTCTAAGGATCCAGCACATCTAGAGAAAACTGTGGCAAGGGATGTTAGTCAGTACAGTGAATGATGGGAATGTCATGACGCGAATGATTTCACGAGTGAATGTTGGCAGAGAGAAGTAAACTTACCCGTCCACATGCTGTAGAGGTTCTCGACGTTTCTGGTGTCGACTTTATGGATAAGTCCGGCGTCAACGGTCAAGACCGGCGCATTTAATCTGGAAGGCATAGTGATTGTATTGTGGAATCGAAAATTTGCTCGAACGCACGAGCTGTTATGAAAGTGAAGGCACGACTGCGGCAAGGAGTCGCGATATGATCGCGAAATGGTGGAGGAATGTTGGTTTGTTATGTTGATGATTGAATTTGTGTAATCGTGTAGAATCTCTTGACAGTGATTCAATTTGGTGGAGGCAATATCGAAGAGTGAAAGGTTGAATAAACGGTCGGTCGAGGGAGAAAAGTATTCGAGGGATTGATGCAGAAGGAGGAGAGAGTTGTACTTGTAGGTTTAAGTTGGGGTTGAAGACGTGGGGAGGAAAAGAGGTTGATGGACCGGATGTGGGTGAAGTAAAGTATAAGTATAGTGTGAAATAAGCGTTTTCGGAATCAATCGCCTTTTTTTCCTTCTGGGTCCGTTTTAATCGAGATGGGAATTTCTGGCGAGGTGCAGGAAGAGGTAGAGGAGAGGAGAATGTTCTTGAAGATATTCTTCTTTTTGGTAGATGTGAGTGTGAGTGTGAGTGTTGAATGAGTTGATTGATGTTGAATAGGAAGAGGGTTGATTATGTTGTTGGTAGGTAAAGTGATGGTGATGGTGGAAGTGGAGGTGGAGGTGGAGGTGGTGGTGGTGGTGATATTTGATAGATATTATATCCAAGTAATGTCATGTAATGTAATGTGCTGGTCGCCTTTCTTTTAGACTGCCTGACTTTGACTGAACTTGAACTACCTTGAACCTTTTTAGGTTTACCAGCAGAAAGGCGGAAAAGGAAAGAATGGGAAGAGAAAAAAAAAAAAGATTAAAAAAATAATAATCCAGTAGTGTGGATCCGCTTTGAGTAATATTCTTTTCTTTTCGCACACGATTTTCCTGCTTTCCTACTTTCCTGCTTTTCCTCTTTTCTTCTTATGGTCGGTGAATTAAAATCCAGTCAAGTTCAAGTGGTGGAGGAGGGGGTTAATGATCGGTCTAACTAGGGTGATGAGGTTATGAGTAAGTGAGAAAAAGGCTAGATCTCTCCTCTTCTCTTCATTTTTCCCTTCTCTTCTCTTCCCCGGTGGGAGTGGATCTCAATGAGGATGGGTGGGTGAGTGAGTGAGTGGGTGAGGGTTCTCGGTCTTGGAGAGAGTAATTAATTCCTTAGTGTCATCTGGTAATTACCCCTTTGAAAAGAGTCATATCCCATTTAGTCTTAGATCCATTCCAAATTCATGCCACGATCTATGACCGATCGGTCGATTCTCGATCATTCAGTCATTTTAGTTTATTCCTTCATTGGGTTAAGTAAACGGCCCTTTTTCGTATGGAGTCCAATGGCCCTAAGCCTATTTGAGCTGCTTTACATGAGTTTAAGTGCAATGGGGAAATTGTCAAGGAGTTCAATCATGTGCTCAAGAACCTGAAGATCGGTTCCAAACTTTCGCCATCCTTGTCTCCATCTCTTTTACCCCTGGTTCGGATTGAAAGAAGCCATGAGGTCCAGACAAGATAGTGGATGGGAGTTGAATCGTGATGGGGGAAATTGATGCTAGAGGAAAAGGAGTAATAATTGAAGGAGACTAAGCACAATGAGGATATAATGTGAGGATTGATCCCAAGGACTCCTTTCCCTTTCGAGTATCTTTTGATGGAAAGCCGATGAAAGGTCATTGCTTTCATATTCCATGACTTCTCTGGCGATGGCGATGGTTCTGACTGTGACTATGGATGGTATGGATATGGCTATGGTATGGATATGGATATGGCTATGGTATGGTTATGGCTATAATTATGGCGATGGCTATGGCTGTGAGCTATGACTATAGTTGTTTTGAGTGAAAAGGTTCATCTTTGTACCTTACTCGTTCATATCAAATCTCTCGAGAACAATTGGGCAAATCAATCGGTAGATGATGAGTACGTAAGTTTGAATGAGTATGA